TTGTTTTTGTTGTTGATGATCATAAGTAGCACCATCATTCTCTAGTATTAGTTCTCAAGTACTTTTCGTAAAAAATATATAAATACTTGTCATTCTTCAAAATTGATGTGTCATTTTTTTGTCATGATTTTTTTCAAGCCACTTATTCAATTTGTAATGCTTTCTTTCATTTCATCATAAATAATTGTTTCAATTTTTGATATATTTATATTTATACAGCGTATACTTTGACCTAAGTTTAATAATTTTCATTGCCCTAAATGATAAATAGAAATAAATAAAAACAATAAAATGATTATTGTGTTTTTATTTGCTCAAAATGTGTACGAGACTTCCCATGCCTTATATTTGCTTGAAGATAATTAAGTTGTATCATCATTCATGCACACTAGCTTTGATTAATTAATTAATGAATATATGATATTTGTTGATTAATTGATTAGTTAATTAGTTGTAATGGTAATTAATTATTATCTTCAACGATATTTTAAATTTATTTATTGTATTGAGCATATAAACACTGTTTCTACATTTTCTCAAGATTTGAATCTATCAAATTCTAAATGCGATTGTACGTGAAGAAATATTAGTTAGTACCTAATTTAAGAGCGTGTACTTCCCAAAGATGATCATTTTGATGGTGTTATATCACCGTGAAGCGCGGTGTACAAGTGTGTGTATTCTGATTTTTCTATGTTAATTTTTTACGAATGTATATGGTGTATCTGTTACATACGCGCACCACACACACACACACACACACGCACGCACACACATCGCGAGCACCACACATACATACAAATATACCGTAAATAACTTTTAATAGAAAAACGGTTAAAATGTTATATATTTTTAAATGTTAAAATATGTATACACATATAATTATGTCTATAATGGTTGTTTAGACTAATGATAAAGTCGCATCTCAGGTTTGAGGTACTTCACTTTATACAAACACAACTTCAAATTCAACATCGTGTCGTCAATTTTTGATGGCTTTTAATTAATCTTAACGTTTCGTTATTTGTTTTAGTCATCAGACAGACTCATGAGCCAAACATTACCACTTATTTAATCTTCTTCAGTCAGTCAGGTAACACTAGCACTGAATTTTGTTATATCTTGTTCTTTAAGTTTAAATATTTTCGTGTCATGATTCGTCTGTTTGTTTGCCTTTGATTGCGTAGTTGTTTCAACCATTAAGTATGCGTTTGTTTCCACAAAGGATTTCAACGTTTTATAATGAAGGCGAACGCTTTTGTCACATCTCCACATCCCATTTCATACAAATTTTCCATGCTTTGCTGTTATCGTTGCTAAATAATTAACATGATTTCGTGCTAAAAATTTATCTTTATATCATATTTAAACATTTACCGATAATTATATTTTATAAAGTTGACTTTTTTCGAAAATAATTTTCAGTTATTTGTCGTATCGCAGTACTGACACTATAAATTATTTCTCGAACTAGAATGTACCTCACAAGTTCACAGATGCAAGTAGCACGTGAAGTATCAATATAATTGAAGTAACACGAGTATGTACAATACAGTGCTTACGTTCTGCAGTTCAGAGTTGATCTGATATTTTCGATGATTCCCAACGATAAATATATTACCATGACCAGTGTAAATCTACTTAGACATGCTCGTAGTTGTGATTGTCATGCTTTCATCAGTATATAAATTTACATATTTACATGTATAGCCTTTTTTCATTATTCATCCCATTGTAATCATTGTCGCGTGTGATGTAACGTGAGACGTTTACTCGTTTGTCGTCTGACTAATTAAAGTCTCTTCAACGCTATTTTTCAAAAACTCCTATGCATGTAAGTTTTTGTAATGCGAAACTGTCTAAAAATCTTAAATAATTGGAATAGTGTGTAAGCGGTTTTAGTTAGACCAATGGTATTGCGGTTATAAGAAGTCGTACATTCTCGATTCAGCTGTGTTGTTGTCATGCAATTAAATAACTACAGTTTAGTGGTGAGTAAATACGTGTTCAATGTCCATTTATTTTCACTAGAATGTTTTTTAACGTGTTATGATAATGAAATTATACCGTGGAGTTTGTTCTGATCGTGTTTCTATATTTGTCCAAATTCACTCAACATATTATTATTCATGTTGATGAAAAAGTAATAAAATCATGTACATATAGGCTTCTGTTTTAATTTCTTAAATTTTTTTTTAATTTTTAAAAGCCCTCTAGGACAAAAACCAACTCGTTTATCATTTCATAGTGGTTGAAATTATATTTTGAAAAATAAATAATAATTATAAACATGCATATATATATGTATATATATATATATGTATATATATATATATATATACATATATGTGCATTTTAATGTGTGTATGTCTTACCAATATATGTACATCATTGTGAACATATTTAAATATGTATAAATGATTGCATACAGATTATTTGAGTGTGGTGTGTATGTATTGTGTATGTGTGTGTTTGTGATGTGTGTGTATGTGTTGGACACTTGTGTGTTGTTAAAATTGTATAGATAATTGAGCAATCATCATCATTATCATTTCATTCCTATCTTCCTTAGAAAAAAAAGTCATGACGTGTGACCTGACAAATAATATGTTATATTATTTTCTAACAATATATATATATATATATATATATATGTGTATATATATATATATATTCTATAACATATATATGAAAATAGTGTTAAACATATACAATTAAAGTCCGTATAATACATATTTATGATAAATAGATATCGACAATTGAATGAAAGTTTGTTAAGTAAGTAAGTAAGTAAAGTCGTCAATGTATTAAAACGATGAATGTCAGTTTGAAGGAGCAATTAAACTAAGTGGAGTAACATTAGAAATGGAATACAAATAAGTAATTTTTACTTAACGTTTCATAGACATGCAATTTCCAAATAAAATTTTGGGTGTATGAATTCAGTAGGAATTGGTTTTGGAAGTTATTGAGAGATGAGCAAATAAATACATATACGTTTAAAAATTATACGAGTGTGTGATTGATTATCAGTTTTCAGTCATTATTACAAAAAATAAATAAATTGTTCGTTCAAAAAAGAAATTTTTCCAATGGATTAGCAAACGACAAAATTGAAATCGAAATGGCATTTCTCCAATGAACAACAATTCAGAAGGAAACTTTTTTCCATTCCGATGCGTGCGTTGTTGTTATTATTCCTTTCATTAAAAATAGAGCGAAACGAAAATCTAATTTTTGATTGATACAAATTATAGGGATTTAGAAATGTCGTTAAAAGAGGAAGTCTGGATAGAGAGAAAAAAAGAGAGAGAACAAATTCATCTGTGCAAATTGGAAATTTACAGAAAATCAGACAACTGCATCCAAGAACAAACAATAAATTAAAGAAGAAATTGTTAGAGACAATGAGTTCAAGTCAATTGCCCGCCTCGACGATGAAAGGAGAGACCTCGAGACACTGAGACATGTATCGCAGATCATTTGCTGCAACAACATACGTCGTCGCACTGAATTCTCCAGGCATACACCTTTTACAACGTGTTAGCGTATTTAAACAGAAGAAAGTTAGTTACAGGTTTTCTACGAATATGCACGAAAGAAACAACTAATTTAAGTTGAATCAACGGTGAAGTTAGCACTCGAAGAATGAAATAACACATGCACATCTGTGGAATGGAGACAGGCGTTTGAGCATGACATAACAAACTGATGGCGCCATACATACATCATACTTACGTATACAAACATACACATACATACAAAGACATAAACATACAAAGAAATATACATATCCTACATACATACGAAAACAAACATATACAAAGATATATGCACATGCATAGAAACATATTTACATATACACACGTTAACGATACTAACCAATCATACATTACATAAATTATTAAAGACAATAAGACCAACACTTTAAGCATGCTAGAAAATTTCAAACTATATAATACCTATATGAAAGTAATGAATGAAAATGAAAAGAAGCAATGAAAGGAAAGAAACACTTCATAATACTAAATGAAACATTAATGGCTCTCTGATGAATACAAAAAAACATTTCACAAACATATTGACTATTGTAATGTAAGTCGGCCAAACGAACAAGTCACGGTAACATCGGTTCGGTGCCTGCCTTGTCACTGCCATAGCATCCAATTTTATTCATCACATAGCCATAGTTGCTGTTGTAATGCAGTTTACAATTATTAAAATGAAAGATGAATAGATAAAAATATTATCAACTAAATTTTACCAAAAAATGAATTAGTAAACTGTACATTGATCTTACGAACGGATGGTTTTGAAATGTGAAAACGTTGAAGTAGGAAGAGCAGATGTGTAATGAAAGAACACGGAGAAGGTGATTAGTAGTGGATGAGATTGTGCTAAGTGGTAGTTGGAAAGTTAATTTATTCATCGATTCTTTGTTCCTTTGACATGTCACTTTTTGATAGGACGACAGATTGAAAGAAAACGAATTCTGATATTTAGTTAAAAAAGGATGTTGCGAATTAAGACGCTTACATGAATATTTATGACAGCATTGCCTGAAACTATGCTAATTGTAATATTAACGACAACTACAATAATAATAAAAATAACAATAAATCCTACAATTATTTATCGCTTAACTAGTTGGAAAGTTTTAAAATGCTTAATAATTATTCAAATTTAATTAGTTTCAATTTTACTTGGCTGATTATTCAAATAAATATTTATTTGAGCATAAAAAGAATAAAATTTAACCAGAATATCTCAGCAAAATCATGAAATAAGAAGTATATATAATGTAAAAGGACACGAGATAAGCGTGCTGTTGCGTTTGCCCCTATGTACCTTACTGCACACACTCAATAGATGAATATACGCAAGTGATATATTATTTTTTTTTACAATTGTAAACTTGAAAGTAAAAATTTGTATGACGTGGAATGTGAGAAAAGTTTAAAGTTAAATAAATGATGAATAAATATACATAGTAGTGGGTCGTGGATGACAACAACGCCAGTGAAGACGACGATCAAAACTTGCTGAAAATGAAGCAACACAGCATTAGAACGTCCAATGCTGGTTAACGTAACTATGTATGATGCTGATATCTAACAATATTAATTAATTACAAAGAGAGACAGCGCTGCAGAAAAACAGCAGAAACACAAGCATGTTCTATGAGAAAACCATCTAGGATATCTTCTGAGGAGGTAGAGAAATTAAAATTGTTTTAATAAAATGCAAAAATAGGAAGTTTGGGAAAGGAAAATAAATGTGTGAAATATTATTATCTTTTTTGATTACAAGAAGAATAATCTTTTTTGAAAAATGATGTAACAGACCATTTAAAAAGCCACTGGCCAAAAGAAAGTGGACATGGACCACCTAGTTAAAACCTGTAAAACCTTTTAAACTGAATAAAAACGAGGAAATAAAATGAAATTTATAAAAAAAAATATTTAAACGATCCCAAATAATGGATGATGTTGATGAACTTCGACATCATTCGAATGTTCTAAAGAATACAGCTAACTTCTTCTATAAACTTGCAATTTTTAATGTGGAAAGCCAGTCAAGAGGTCAGAATTTTTGAAATTTGTATTTTAACGTTTCCTAAAATTTTGAATAAAAACTATGGATTTTAAATATCCATGATAAAATCGAAGAAGTTGAGTGTAGATAGAAAAACTACGCTTCTATATAATCCTTAAACGAAAACCGAACGGCCTATAAAAGCACCTTCACGAATAGCAGAAGAGTTAATAGAAAATACTATCAGATGGCTGATGAAGTTCACGGCGCCAAAACCGATTCCAGTTGTTTGCTAAAATATAATCAGGAACTGCTGGAGGCAATCCAAATGTTAAACACACGAAAAAGTTGAGATTGATTGAAAAAGGGATGGGTTCAGAAAATGAAACTAGAGAATACATACTTCCTGAGTGGGGCAAACCGACCTGAGATGTGCAACATCATTTTGAACACACGGGCAGTTATATCAAAGTAGAATAAGAAGTAGAATGTTTTTCACAAAATTTGAAAAAAATAACTGGAATTAAGTCGAATATTTTTGTATTAAATTAATTTAAATTATCAATTTGATTTCATGTTCCTATATCGTTTTATGCAAAGAATTAGAGAATAAAATTTAAAAAATCAAACTGCTTCGCATACCGCACTACCAGATGAAAAATAAATCAGGTTATATAGTTCTAAATGGCAACCCATTATGAATTGAGAAATACATGTATTATGCTTGCAAATGCTTGTAACAGTTCAAATTGATTTACTCAAATTTATGCCAGAACAATTTTTAAAACTTTTCTAATTTTAATTAAATACACTTTATAAAAAAATTGGCTGAGTTGAAAAGGGTTTTTTGTAGAAAATATGAAGATAAAAATATTAAAGATAGGGAAACTATTATGATTATTTTTTCAAACATGAATTTGCAAAATGATGACAATGTTGAAAAAAGCTCAAATAATAATCGGACATCTAAATCATTAACTAGTAGTTAACATAATAAAAATGCGGACATAAGTTTAGGACCAGTTGACTACCTATACCTACCTAGCTATGGTTTAATTTCATTCAACACACGCTTGGCATTATACAAAGAAATAAGAAATCTCAAAACAATGGTCGATAATAATTTTAACAAAAATTATATTGAGAAAAAATATAATATTAATATGATAGAATAACAAAACTATATAACGTGAATGTTACGCAAAGTAGCAATGAACAGCAACAACAATGATAACAACTCGATGCATTCATTCATATATCAATGCTATCCCTTCTATTGTACTTGTTCATATTATTACTATTGCTACCTATGACGTTATTATTATTGTTGTTGTTGTTGTTATTGTTATTATTAGTTCTGTTACTGCTAGAACTAGAGCGCAGTTGATGGCGATGGTGATGTAGATGGTGGGATGGGTAGGCACGCGGTTCATCTGAGAAACATTCATCAACATCAATCGACCACTCGCCATCATCGCTCATCTCGGTTCGGGGATCCCACCTTGGTTCAGAGGGTGACGGCGATCCACAGGCTATCCGTCCGCGGTCCCGGCTCCATTTCCTAGTGGACATTTGCTGCCGATGTCGTAGTTGCAGAACTTGCTGAGGATGTTGATGTTGCGGCTCATCGGCTCGATAGTTCCAGTTGGAGTAGTTGCGTTCTGCAACCAGTTCCTGCCTATGATCCCAAGATCGAGATATATTAGGTTGGCTCATGTCGTGAGGACGCCGGTCTATTCGATTCATTGGCGGAGAATTCCAAGATCCGTATTCCGCCCCGACATCCGAATTGCCTCTTTGTATTGTAGATACAGGATTGCTGGGGACTCTCTGTATGATAGCACCTCCACTTGATATCGACGGAAGTCGTCTTCGAGTTTGCTGCTGCTGCTGTTGCTGTTTTTGTTGCATGTAATAAATTTTGTCGACATCAATTTGAGGTGAATGTTGTTGTTGGGGTTGCTGCACTAAAGGAGGATATGGTTGTTGCGACTGTTGCTGTTGTTGTGGCTGGTGTTGCAAATATTGTTGTTGAGATTGTTGATTTGGGTAGTTTTGAAAATGTTGTTGCTGTTGGAGAGGAAAGTTGGAGCCAGGTTGATAGTTCAAACTCTGATCGTGAGGAAATGGTGAAGAATGATTGTATTGCATGTAAGGGTTATCTGGGTTGTAAGGTCTTATTTGTTGCACGTTTAGCGCTCGAAGCGTCGAAATTTGGGCTGTTGACGTTTGCACATTGAATTGTTGGAAGTCTGAAATTGTTGTTGTTGATGGTGCTGAAACTGTTGTTGTTGGCATTCTTGGGAATAAAACTGAGGAATCACTGACTGAAGAGTTGAATTGATCAGCAGAATGTTGTTGTTGTGTAGGAGGCACGTAATTGCTCTGTTGTTGTTGTTGTTGTTGATGATGATGTTGTTCTGTTGCCGAGGAAGACTGCTGAACAACAGAAACATTTATTGTTGGCGTAGATGATAAATTTTGTTGAGAAAGTTGTTGTGTTGAAAGGTTTTGAACAGAAGGAAGCAGCGTGCTGGTTATCACGTCGATGTGGGCGGTCGTCGTCGTTGTTGCAGTTGAAGTGCCACAACATGAAGTTGTAGTGGTCGTGCAAGTGGTTGTTGTGCCTGTTGAATTTGAGCTGAGAGGGGGGTGTGTGGCTAGCCAATAGGCTTCAAGAACTTCAGAAAGGTGATCACACGCATCTTCCAATTGGTTCTCATCTAAAATGACGTCAAACATCTCCTAGTTTGGTGGAAAAAAAAGATAAACGACTCGAAAGAAAAATAAAAAATAATATTGTAAATCATTTAAAAATTTTGAAAGAAACAATTTGATATAAATATATTTCTCATTTTACGATAGAAGTGAGTAATTAATCAACACATGACTGTGTTGAGTATAAAACTATGTAACAAACTGGATTGCACTGATTGAGTTTCTCGGCTGCAACCAGCTGAACATTCATGTTTCGACTCTGTGATTTTGTTCGCGATTTTATCAATCTTTGCAATACCTTGAAGACAAACATTTTTTAATTTGCGTCAACTGCTTAAAAAACTAAAATCTTTTAAACTTAAATTGTAGAGTTTGAAACTTAATTGCGTTTAATTATGTTTAAATAATGTAACTTCATTAGGATCTTTAAAAAACAAGCCATTAGATGAGTAATTTTGTGTGAATATCTAAAGCATGAGCAAAAATGAATGAAAACCTTGGGTGAAGAAATCTTGAGATAGACGATGATGGGTGCCAGTGACGTTTTGAGTAGCTGCGAAGGGTGGTTGATCGTGTCGCAGTCGAGGACAACAAGTTGCATGAGACGTGCCAACTCAAATATCCTTTCTATCTCTTCTTGCACTTCAGCTGTTTCATTGGTTAGTTGGAAACATTTTTTTAATGATGTTCATATAGACTAATGTTCTGAATGGGTATGTTGAAAGCGAAGGATATCTGAAAAACAAGCAGCGCATTACAAGTTGTTAAGTAGACTACTTACCAATGCATGTTGTCCGGCTGTTGCCTCTTTCGATGATGGCTCTCTTGCTCGGACCATTCAAGATGGATCGCTTCGCAAGAGAAATATCTGCCGTGACTCTCGTTATTGTAATCCTGCAATGTAGAATGTTTGAAAAATGTTTGAACAGCGGTAGAAGGATAGAAAGCAAAACTCGATGGAATTTATGAAGAAAAAGCAGTTCAAAACGCGCTAACTCACCTCCCTTCAAATTTGTGCTTTAAAAAGTCAAACAAGGCCTTCTGCATCATGTCTGTGACCTCAAAACCTTTTAAAGAAGGACCAATGAGAACGATGGGTCGCATGGAAGGTACAACTTCGTAAGGGGAGGTCGAGTCGGACTGTTGAGTGATGTGCAAAAATTATTCTTCATCATTTATTTGGAAAGGTTCTTGAATAAACAATCACATATCAGCAAGTTCAATTTTTGCTAGACATTATGCCACATAAATTAAAACATTAATATAAGTATAAAAGTAAAAATGGACTTTTTTGAAAAATGGTTTGTGTTTTTCTCTGATAGGAGGAGTGGCGCCATGTTTCAGCTGTCGGATGTGCATGGTGTCGTTGTCGTCCAACGCGTTGTAGTCTGTGTTGTTGAGATTGACGCAAAAGAATGTGGTTAGAAGTCAATTACAATATTAATAAACAGTTTTTAATTTAGTTAATGACGTTGCAAAGAATAACTTTTCAACGTAAACTTCCTATTGTACAATGCATAGATGGTTACAGAGAAATTCAACACTGTCGATGTTTTATATATATATATATATATATATATATATATATATATATATATATATATATATATATATATATATATGTCAGTTACTTCGATGATGTTTTGAAATAATTGAAATAATTGTGTTTAATTTTTTGCTTGCATTTGCGTTAACTACAAAACATTTCGAATAGTTAAGATAATTTCAGCAAAATTATATATGTTTTTATATAAAATGAAAATGCATGTAATTGGTACAGATTGAAATAGTTGAAGTTGAAATGATTGAAGTAGAAATAATTGAAGTGGCCTACACACCTGGTGTAGGTGGAGTAGAACCTCTGGAACTCGGGTACCTGGAATTCAACATGTTCTCTATGTTTGAAGCTGAATTGGGCTTACTGAAAATTTCACATTACAAAAACCGTTTAAATGTGTAGTGCACGATGTTAAATTAAAAATTAAATTCAACCATTTTATAACCCTTTGCGTCAACAAACCTTGTGTATATACCAGCTTGTCGAATCATTCCGCTCTGCATTTGTAACTTCATCATCTCCAATTTGGCGGGGCTGGGTATGAAACCGACCTCACTTCCTTCTTTCACTATTCGGCCGATCCACCAGTCGTTGTTATATTTCTGATTAAATATATTTTAAAAGTTTTAAAAGTTCCAAGTCACTGAATTTTATTAAATTCAACAAAACAAAACCTCAAAAACTATTTATTAGGGTTTAAGACAGAAGCACTCAGACGAAAGAACAGTTACAAACTTCTTTGATGTGTAGGAAATCTCGCGGGGCGAAAGAAAGTACCCTTGAACGCGCTGGTGCATCGTCGTCAGGAAAGGCATGATAGGCTACATTCGTTCGAATTGCAAAAGCTACCGGAATTATCTGAATAAATGTATCACATTCAATTCGTTTTTTTTTTGACATAAAAGTCTAGTTTTTACGATCTTGCTTTCCATTCAAAAGTGTTATTGGCGAAAAAAAACATTATGACAAAATGTATAATCTATTAGTAAGTTTGAAAGCCGTTTTAATATATTTTGTTCGAACTTTAGCTTTTTCCAATTGTAGGAGAGCCAGTCTTTCAATCTCCTTCCTGTTGGCTTCCATTTCCCGCCTTATTGCTTCAGGGTCGTCATCAGTGGAAAACTCGGATGACTGGAAACTGTAGTCTGAATCATTTGAACCCTACAATTGCATTTTGTGTTATGTTTAATAAAACGGATAACAGAACCACAACATTGTCTTGTAAAATCTACCACTCTATCCATCTTTTAAACGCAAAATGATTTCGAAACTATACATGCACTATATGTTTAAGTTGAATTGAATTTTGCTGGTTGCTTTCCAAAGCATCTAACAAACAAATCAAAAGTACAAATGTACATCATATGGAAAGAAAAGTTTAAAAACTACGCTCCTCCTCTAATTTACATTATGGTGTTACCATATTAAAAATCTCTCTTCCTCAAGTCAGCTTTTCTTATTTTGGTACTTATCTCTGAAAGTCATTTGTATCTTTTCATTTTTTTCAACCAGTTACAAGTGGTCTCAAAATGTATGGTGGAGTGGGGGACTGACGAAGTTTTTATGACGGTTTAAAAAATAGTTACATTTTGATTGACGTTTAACACAAAATTTTTGCTGCTTTTCAATAGTGCTGTTATTGCTTGGTATCAAACAATTTTATATTAGTCAGTTTTATTGAAAATTGAAACGTTGTTAAATGTTTGTTAGTAAAATCAGAAATTAATTTTGAAACGAAACAAGAAACTAAATGATTTTATTGGGTTATATTAAATTCAACATTTGTTTCGATATTTAAAAAAAAAATTTCAAACTAAAATCAAACACGACGAGCACAAAACAGACAGACAAACAGACCTGTCTCTTAAAAGTCGTCGATTCATCAGAGTATGGACCTTCCAAGTGGTCAGATGAGTGTCCACCGCCGCGTGTCGATCGCGACCACCTGCGACCACTCTGATCAATCAATCGATCAGACTCGTCAATAAATTTATTAATGATTCGTGATTTAACTAATATATTTTACATATTGACAACAGTTACAACGAAAGTCCAAAAAAGGGTAATGAAAAAAATATTTTGAGATATATTTTGGAGAATTAAATATGAAAACATTCGTTAAAACAAATCGGGTGATCACTTGAGAATGAGCCATCCTCGGAGATCCTGATCTCATACTGCGTGATATAATCGTTAAGGGTGAGGAATCAGACGGCTGACGAACTGCCATTTTTCTTCACAATTGCTGCCGGTAGAATGATCAGATGATGAGTGGAAGTGAATTTTTCGCCGTCATTAAAACTCAACCGACTGGAGTAATTCGGATTGGTGCTAACTGTATCCGATTATTATTGCAAGCTGTGACTTCAAGTATTCCATACAATTTCTTTCTATTTTAAAATTTTTTATATAAAATTCAACTGAAAATTCCTATAATATATAACACTGTTTCAAGTCTGCTTATTTATTAAGTCCAATTGTACTCTTTAGAAAGGACATACCCAGAATAATTTTAATCAACACTTTTATAAAATTGAAAATTCATGTTGTAAATGGATAAAAATTAGAAAACAAAAGCCCTTTTGTATTATATTATAATTGTGGCAAATGATATAAAAGTCCTGACACTATAAAATATTATCCTCGACCATGTTTTGCTGTTGTTATTGTTGATGTTCCAGTCAGTCAT